TAGCAGACTGACCCACCCCAGCCAGGCCACAGCATGGTGAGAAATAATACATGACTATCTTAATCCAACAAGATGTGGGCTCTTATGCTATACAGCAAGAGATAACCAAAAAAGTTCTATTAAAAGATAATTTGGGTATGCATAGAACTTGCTTTCCCTAGTGTTTCTCAAGTGGTGGGTCATCAGATATTTCTAATAGGCCCAATGGAAGTGGCCCCCAAGAGTGCATCATCTGAAGTAATTGCCTCCTTTTTCTCCATTGATGCAACCAATCACATTGTGCGGGGATTTCTGGGAAAATCCCTCTTCACTAATGAAAAGATTCTAACTACCACTGCGTCTTGCTTTCACTTCTTCCTCTTTGTCTTAGTCAGTAGTAACTGGGATGAGTTTAAGGGAAGAGAAGAGGATAGAAAAGCATTGCAGTACAGAATGGAATTCCCCCTTAAGTCATTTTGTGGTTGTATCCTTCTTGCATTCCACATTCGGTCCTTTGGAAAACCCCCAAAGAGATTGTAATTCTACCCAAAAGCACTAGGAGAACGAGGGGATCACATTCCTTAGGACATTTGAGCCGTCTGTGAAGATAATCTTTTGCAGCCACTCACACCTGGGTGAGCTGTAAACTCGGCAAGATGCCAAGGACCCGCCCGAATGTGGCCTGAAGGACATTGGGAGTGAAGAGGAACAGAGACATCTGACTCTTGTTGGGCAGAGGATTCCCAATCCTGCAGGGGCTGGCAAAGCTCTCTCCTCTCCTCTCTGCTTCCTGAGAAGCTCTAGTTCTCGACTCCAGCCCCCAGTCGTGCAGCATAAGAAATCAGGTGCAGAGCTCCCTCCACCCCAACTTCTGTCCCACATAAGCAGAACTTGTTGAGAGCTGGCTGCGGAGAATCTAGGGGTGTGGTGCTTCATCATCAATACTGAGCGTCCTCCAGCATGAGGGAGACTGCGGTATGGAATAAGGAGGCCTCTGAGTTGTGGGGCACTCATTTTGCAGAACAGCTGAATGAACCACGATGGACTGTAGCCTCAAGCCCCTCTGCTCTAGCCCTGCTCTGTGCTTCAGGGCTGGCTGGCGGAGGCAGGGCAGTCAGTGTCTTTGCCAGAGAAGTCTACAGAGCGGGGAAGGAGGCTCACCGATGTGAGTATGGAGCAGGAGGCACATGGAGAGTCGCCGGCAGTTGAACCCGATCTTTGAGGGAATGAAAGAGACCACCAGCATGACCCCTGCCAGTTATACATGGTGCCTGCGGTCAGGTGGCTTTCAGTTCCTTTATGCATGAGGGATTCTAAACCCTGGCTGCACATTAGAATAGACTGGGATTTTTTTTTTTTTTTTTTAATGCTTATGTCTGGACCCATCTCCACAGAATCTGATAAAAATGATCTGGGCGGGGATCCTGACTCCAGTAGCTCCTAATGTGCACATATTTGTTTGTTACTTTGTTTGGGGGTGGAAAACAACTATTCTTTCATTCTGTGTTCTGGATTAAGGCTTTGCCTTCTTCAGACCTTGGACAGCTCACAGAGGGTTACACCCTCGGCTTTTGCTCCAGAAAAAAACCTCACAAGAGTCCTACTGCGCCCTCTTGTGTCAGCAATGATAACGTGCAGTTCCTAAGGAAAACACTTTATTACACAAGTTACCTCCAGAGAATAAAAATATGCAAAAAAGAAAAAAAATACAAGTAACCTGTAATCCTCACTGTTAGAAAACATATGTATATCTTTGCAGAATTTTTGATAAATTTTGTTCTTTACAAAAATAAAAGATTGTATACGCTGTCTTATTTTACTTAATAACCGTGAATGTGTTTTCATGTAAATGAATTTAATTCTGTATCATTTTAATTGCTTGCATAACTGAATGGTATTTCACATGAAATGGTAGTAAAAATATTTAACATTTATTGGGTACTTATTACATGCCAGGAACTGTGCTAAGTACTTGGTATGGATAATCTCATTGTATAGGCACATTACCCATATGAAGCAGGAATTGTAATTATTCCCATTTTACAGATGAGGGCATCGATGTTAATTTTCCTAAGTGGTGGAACCAGAATGCAACATAAGCATTTTACTCTATATTACCAGGTACATTCAATCTATCACTTACTGTTGTCATATTTGTTGCTTCCTTTGGGAATTGTCTTCTGTTTCTGTCTCTGTCTCTGTCTCTGTCTCTCTCTCTCTCTCTCTCACTGTCACACACACACACACACACACACACACACACACACACACACACACACACACATGCCATAGGACCGTTTCATTATTCCTTATGCTAGACTCTTGGATGGATTCACGGAAAAAGGTATTAATTTTAATGTTCTTACATCTCTTACCAAAATTTCTCAAAAAATGAGATATTACACTCTCAGCATCTTAGCTGAAGGTTAATGGAATGTATGTTGTGTATTCTTGTGTTTTAAAAAGTATCAGCTTTAATTTCTAATATAGCATAGAATATACTAGTATATGGTCTATTGGACTACACTGTTTGACATACCTGTAAACAAATGTGTTTTAGGGTCTAAGTAATCTTTAAGAGTGAAACAGATTTCTAATATCAAAAACTTAGAGCAATGCTGCTCTAGGAAAAGAAGCTGGAGCCCCATTTCTATGCCTGCCCCCTGCGCACCAATGCTCTCTTCTCCTACACCTCTCTTTTTGGTCCATAGACTCACCTTGGCTGTAGGAGCCACCCTTTCCTGTCAAGAAGGCCCTTTTAATTATTTGCGTTTTCATGTCCATCCCTATTTGTATCAATAGGTGTGATAACCATGCAGCCCTACATTTTCAGATAAAATTTTGTCCCTCTATTACCCTCCCTCGGCCTTCCAAGAATGCTGAGATAGGGTCAGCCTGTGTCTGAGGAGAAGCAACTTGGTACTGTGGAAAGAGAATTAGGTGTGAATAGCACTTCTATTAGGGACCAGTTTGGACACGATGGGTAGGTTACCTAATCGCTTTAATCTAGGTCTCCTTATCCATAACAATGAGAACATTATCTACATTTCCTTATCCATAACAATGAGAACATTATCTACATTTTTAGGATAGAGAAAATGAAATGAATTAGATATTTAGTGCCAAGCTAGGCAGAGAATGTGAATTGGACAATGTCTACTGTTTGCCTGTGTCTGTATTCATCCCTTTATTTTCAGCTTTTTTTATGCCTTCATGTTTTATATGTGGCTCTTGTAAATAACATATAACTGGATTTTTAAAACATCCAACCTGACAATCTCAGTATAAGGAGAGAGCTTTATTCATTAACTTGCTTCTCTTTTTCATTCTACCACCTACACATGTATGCTTCTTCAACATATTGTTTAGTCTTGGTTTTTTGAATTTACAAAAATGCAATCACACTGAATTGACTCCTCTGTGAATTTGTCTCTTGCACTCTCCCTTATGTTTTGAGATCATGCATGTTATTGTGTAAAGCTGTAGTTCATTCAACTTCTTCAGTGTATAGTTCATTTTGTGACAATATCAAAATGTATCCATCTGTTGTGTTGCATTAGACATCTGGATTACTTCTGGTAGCATATATACACGTATGTGTGTGTGTATAATACACTCACACACACACACACATATTTATTCATTTTTGCTGGCATGGTCAATACTCCCATGAGAATGTCTTCCAGTGCATATGTGCAGGATTTTCTAGAAGTGAAATTGCAGACCCCAGGGTAGACATGTGTTCTATTTACCAGGCAATGCTACACTGTTTTCTTTTTCTTTTTTTTTTCTTTTTTACCTCTATGACATACAATGATTTTGTGTAATAATTATTATTAATGATCACATGCACTAAATCATATCAGAATCATAGGACTTTACCACTATTTTTGAACATATACCAGTAACATATTTATACAAATACAGCTCAAAGAAAGCCAAACACCATTTCATATTTGACAATGCTTCCTGTGTGATCTTTATAACAAGCCAAATTTCACCCTTTGCATTAGTGTACTATTAATATCAACCCCAATTCTTAATAAAACCTTATAGACAAATCTATCCAATCTTAATCAGTTTAATCATAAGATTCTCATAAACCTTTCATAACCCATTACAATTTTCATTAGAGCAGATCGGTGCTCTAAGAAAAACCTGTTTTACTTTTGTTTTAATATTCAATTTACAGAAAAACTGAATAATACCCCTTTAAGTTTAGCAAATACGTTCACACACAGAATGTCTTTTACAATTAATATTTATAAACCTTCCACAACTTGTTCAAACATTTAGATATTTTCTATCTCACTTAAAACAATCCTTTAGCCCTCTAAACTTAAGCAAGCAATCCACATTCCTTTGCCTTCTTATAGTCTTTTACTAAAAGTATACTCTGCTTTCCTTACATGTAGAACAGTTTTTTCAGTAGTCTCGGATGTATGCTACTATGTTACCTCTTAGCAACTTTTACTTTTGGTGAAAAACCTGGTTAGTAATGGATTGTGTGGAGCCCAGGACATCAGACAAAAGTGCAGATAAGGTCTGACTCTTTCCGACATAGCTAGGGGCATGGCTAACCCAGGCCTTATCTAGAATCTAATACTCCAAAGTATATTCTTTTAGTTATTTAAAAATGTACAATTAAATTATTTTGACTGCAGTCACCCTGTTGTGCTATCAAACACTAGATCTTTTTATTTTTTTCATGCTTTTTTTTTTGTACCATTAAGCATCCTTACCTCCCCCTAGTATCCCACTACCCTCTCTAGCCTCTGGTAACCATCCTTCTACTATCACCATTAGTTCTATTATTTCAATTTCTAGATTCCATAAATAAGTGAGAACATTTGATGTTTATCTTTCTGTGCCTGGCTTACTTCACTTAACTGTAATGACCTCCAGTTACACTCATGTTGTTGGAAAGGACAGGACCTCATTCTTTTCTATGGCTGAATAGTATTTCATTGTGTATATGTACCACATTTTCTTTATCCATTCATCTGTTGATGCACACATAGGTTGCTTCCAAATCTTGGCTGCTGCAAACAGTGCTGTAACAAACATGAGAGTGTGGACGCCTCTTTGATATACTGATTTTCTTTCTTTTGGGTATATATATATATCCAGCAGGGGGATTGCTGGATCACATGGTAGCTCTATTTTTAGTTTTTTGAGGAACCTCCAAGCTGTTCTCCACAGTGGTCGTACTAATTTACATTTCCACCAACAGTGAGAAGAGTCCCCCTTTTCTCCACAACCTGCCAGCATTTGTTATTGCCTGTCTTTTGACTATAAGTCATTTTAACCAGGGTGAGCTGATATCTCATTGTAGTTTTGATTTTGCATTTCTCTGATGATCCATTAGTGATGTTGAGCACTTTTTCGTATGTTTGCTTGCCATTTGTATTATTTTGAGAAATGCCTATTCAAACCTTTTGCCCATTTTAAAATTGGATTATTAGACTTTTTTTCCTATAGAGCTGCTTGAGCTCCTTACATATTTTGGTTATTAATCCCTTGTCAGATGAGTAGTTGGCAACTCTTTTCTCCCATTCTGTGGGTTGTCCTTCACTTTGTTGCTTGTTTCCTTTGCTGTGCAGAACCTTTTTAACTTGATATGATCTCTAAAACCATGTATTGAATAACTCATCCTGATTGGGAAAAAAACCTCTACATTTACATAGGCTATCTTTAACATTTTCCAATAAAAAGTTTTATACTTTTCTCCATGTACTACTTACATGCATTTTATTAGAGTAATGCAAAGTAATATAATCTTACTATTACAAATTATATATTTTATAGTTTTATTTTCTAACGCATTGTTGCTTGTATGTAGAAATACCATTAACTTTCATATATTAAGTTTACATTTAGAAACCTTCCTATGATCTTATTAATTTCAATCACTTCTGTAGATTATTTGAATTTTCAATGCTATCGTCTATAAATAATGAGCTTTGTATTTTCATTTCCAAAT